CTAACGGTTGCATTTGAATATTGTTAAGTCAATGACTTTAGACCATTTTAATACAGTTGTGGAGCTTTTAGCTAAATATAAAATGGACTTAGACCATGATCCATTACTCATCGAAAAAGATGAATAGTATTTAAAATCTGACAATATTGAGTACCATACATTATGTAACATTAACTTATTACAAATACGAAAAATATTTTAAGGTCAAACCATCGAACTCATCGAAATTAATTGGAAAAAGGAAAAATGTAGCGAATGTAGCTTTTAGTGTTGTGGATCACACTACTTTAAGCTTTGCATTGGCTAGACTGAAGATACCCTTCATTTAGTGCTACGGCAAATAGCACTTGAAATCGATGAACAATGTGCAAGGAGAGACCATTTTAATTTTCTCTCCATATTTCTAGCTGCTGCGAACGTGCGCAACAAAACATTGCAACAGCAGCGTGCCGTGGATGGCGCAGCAATGCCGAAGTATATTGCTTGTGTTGGTGTTGGTGTTGTTACAGGAGCAGTGACACAGGGAGGGGTACCTATGCGGGTAGGGGTAGTGGCAGTTGTAGTGGTTTTGGGCAGAAGGCAAACACAATGAAAATGATGCCGCATCTCTGCGCACACGCTGCTAAGATTAGTGAGGAGTTGCCGAGCTCCAACTGGAGTCGTTGCAACTGTAGCAAACTTTTACTTATTGTCCGCAACGTTGTTTATTTCAATTTCGGTTTGCATTGCTTTTGCTTTTGGCTTGGGTTGTGGGTTAGGGTCTGGCTGTTGTTGTTGTTGTCGCCATCGGTTTGGCTGTTTGCATTTAATGCGACCAGGAACAGGGACGTGTTCTGCCGCGAATTCGTGAAACGTGATGCTGCAAGTCGTTCGCTTTTTGTGTGTTTTTCCTATGTTTATTTATTTGCTTGGATTCTCTCAATTTTGCCTGCCCTTGCTTATTGTTTTTAGTATGCGGATGCTGGCAGTGCCATTGCCATTGCCATTGCCAATGACAGTGGCAGTGACTTTGCTCGCATTTGAATGTTTTTGCAGTTGCATGGAGCTGTCCTTGTTAAGGTGCCTGGCATTGTTAGCCATAGCTGCCTAGACGACCACGACGACAGTCAGTGCTCTGGCATGGGTACCCATTAGGGGTATTTCTAACATGAGAACTTTCCAACCAAAGGGCCGCAAACTATGAAAATGAAAGCCAAATTGGCAACTTTCCGTGATTTTTTTTTAAACATGTTTTTGAATGAAAAATGATTGCGTATTGTGTCCTAATTGGTGGGCCGACGTTTGTCGCGCCAAAAAAATAATAAATATTTGCACTTGGACCGGCAAACATGATAGTTAGAAATCGACTGAGAATTAAGAACTTTCAATGCTTTTGAGAACTGGGAACTGGGAACTACCCAGCGCCTGAAAGGCCATTGACTGTTTGAATTGACTGAGTGAGTGAGTGACTGATTGATTGACGCGCTCTTTGAGCTGTTAACAATCTTTTTGTGACCACCACGTACAGGTTGGCAATGTAATTAATTGCTTTGGCAGGCAAACTGTGTGTGTAAGTGCTGCTGGAAAGTGTCGAAATCACAATGTGGCAACAGCTCCCAAAGAACCCGCACTGCAAAGTGGGTCAAAGCTCTTGAGTGAAAATACGAGGTTGCAACAAAAGTTGTCAGGCTCAAAAATGTGTATGTGTATGATATGAAAATTATTAGTTAAGTGAGGGCTGACAAAAACAATTTCCATTTATTAACCTTGTTGTGACTGCAACTTGCAGCTGCTTCACTCAAAGTTCAGTGAACTCCAGCAGGCTTTAAAATAAACTAATTTTCGTAAGAGTATGAGTCAAGACAGCGCAAGCCCCGCCGAACCAGACAGAAACATCAATCAAATCCAAATTAAGCGTAAAATGCTGTGCAGGAAACGAAGCGTCAAACTCAAGACACAACAGCACAACAAAAAGCAACACAATACGACACACACACATACACATAGGCAAGATGCAGTGCAAAAGGTTAGGCCCGCACCAGGGAAGCAGAGCCCGTATATATATTGTACACAACATATGTATACCCAACCAGTACTTCTTGTCCACGGCAATCAATCAACGGAGCAGCGCGCGCTTTCCAAAGAAAGGCAACAAAAAACCAAAAAAAAAAAAAAACGAAACAAAAAAGTGCAAACCTAACAAAAGTTGCAGCTAATTTTGGACCGTCAGCTTCAGCTCCAATTGCAGCTCATTTGCATACAACGTTGAGTTATGAATGAGCTAAGCAGGCGTGGGCTGCAGGCCAAGAATTGGCACACGCACAAAAGACTGCGATTTATTTTGATACTTATTTTTCGTTTCTGTATGTCTTATGCAAATCTTTAAGCCGCCAACAATTTCCTGATAAATGCACATTCACACAGACAGTTGACACACCGTTATAAGAGCGATTTCCACAAAATTGATAAAAGAACTGCGGCGAAACAAAAGACTTAGGCAACAAACTTACGTATGATAAGGCGAGAGTGGAACGAACCAAAAATGCAGCGCTAGTAGAATACCCTCTGAAGAAATATAAAAGAGGAAAATTACAAAGCAGTTAGCAGTTTTCATAAGCAATATACCGCATTCGGAGTTCTTCAGTAAAATTGTTGAGTATATGACGCTTGCTTGATGTGCTCTTGTCTTGTATCTTGCTGCCGGTCAAAGCTAAAGTCAAAAGCCGAACGTCGCCGTCATAAACCTTTCGATAGGCGGCGCTGCTTTGGCTACGCCTTGACCGATCCGACATCAACAACCACCGACCCAAGCTCAAGCCGCGTAGTTCTTTTTCAATTTTGTATATGTTGTTGTTTTCCTTTTTTATTATTGAGCACGACGTGCGTGGCATGCACAAAAAAAAGAATGAGAAAAATACGAGCAGAGCTACAGGCTCAAGTGGTGGCAATTCCTTTGGCTGCATTTGGTTGTGCATTTTTAATTTCCAACTGCGACGCTGATAGAAATTAAAAAACAATATTTAATCAACGCACATAATCTGCATTCTAAAATTGAGTTGAAGCCGCAGGCGCGTTGGGTGTTGACCATTTAACGCGCCGATTCGTTTACGCGAGAAAAATTTGTTAGATTTTAATCGCTTTTGCTGCGTTTCGCTCAAAAAAAAAAAAAACAAAAAGAAGAAATACAAAAAAGGTTCAAGTTAGTTGGTTGTAGCAAAGCCATAAAAATGAAATCAGCGGATCGGACGATGACGACGTTGACGACGACGACGATGACTTCCTTGAAATCAAAGTCGACGCGACTCGACGTTTGATTCATTTTGTTTTTTCTTTTTTTTTCGGACTGAGCTTGCGGCTGGGATTGGGATTGGATTGGGGCTGTGACTTGGGCTGGGTGGAGAGAAGTGCTTGTTAATCCTTTGACGTGACGTCTGCTCATAATTTGCGCTCATATTTCATATGCTATGCATGATGCTATTTTTTTGTTTGCCTTTTTTGTGGTCCAGCTTTTACGAGTAGAACTTTGGCCTTGCGGCAATTTTGAAAGGTTTTCTGATTGAATATTCTAAAGTAACTTGTCGTAAATCATCGGCCAAGACAGCTAGCCAGTTCTTGGTTCCACTGAGTTCTTGAACCCTTTTTTTCGTATTTTGGCCAGCCGCCACACTGCATGATGATATGCATATGTTGTCGGTCTGTGAAGACTAGTATTATTACATCAGTTTGACATTGTTTAGTCTTCTTTGTCATCCGAATGGCACAGAAAGCTATTTAATCCCAAAAGAGTCCCACAGTTTGATGCCGTTTGGTTCAGTCAACCCAACAAACGAACTCACATTCTAAATGCCAATCGTTCGCTATAAATAAAAAGCCAAAAGCAGCGCTTGCTTTTAATTTTAATGAACCATAAAAATTCACACGCACAATGATGATGATGGCCAGAAACATACATATTACGATTCCAGAAGGTTGACACACAGTGGGAGAGGCAGAGGGACTTGTTGGTTCAGCCAAATGGAAATGTTAATGAAATTTAAAGAGACGCTAACAAAACAAATCAACAGTTGGATAGCTAGGTAACTGGGATCTGGGAGCTGGGAGTCGCGTTTTTCTCAGCAAACAAATCAGACAAGAAAACATAAAAAGACAAAAACAACAGAAAGAAGTCTCGAATTCGAAAGAAAACTATTAAACAACTGTCCGACGCTTATCTCAGAGAATCTCTTGCACAGCGTTTGCTTAGAAATTAGAGCCCAAAACAAATGCCCCAAAAGTTTTTTTTTTTTGAGCAGAAGAAAGGCTGAACTACTGCAGATCTATAGACCGGTTTAACAGTGCACTGTTGAGCCCGCTGTTAAGCTATATAACAGAGAGCCGACGCTCAATGCGACTGCAGCAGCGAGAGCGACAGCGACGCCAACTGCGTTGTTCTGGGCACTCAACTCGACAGCTCTCAGAACCGTAGCTCGCATTTCATTAGCTCGGCATCCAGCGACCGGTTCATTCCACTATCGTCGTCGCTCCCAGCGAGATCTGTGCGCGTGCGCGGCTCCAACCCACGCGAGACACTCGAGAGTCGAGATACGAGATACTCGTAAGCGAACTTCAGGCAGCGAATACGAATATACATAATAAGTATTCATAGAGATTGAGATTTCGCATACTCCGGCAGTTCGTTTCGTTTTTTATGCAAATCTGATCGCGCGACTTAACTCACTTTGGAAAGAAAGAAGCAACAGAAACAGAACGATCTTAAGTCACATTTCGTCGTCACTTTGGCGTGAAAGTAAAAATTCTTTGTGCCTCATTTGGTATTGTGAAATTCACAGTTAGTTGCGCGTTGAACAAAAGAGATTTCGCTGTGAATGCGAGCATTACGTGTATTACGAAATGATCATAAAACTCGCGTAACCAACAATCAACAAGTTAAACAAATAACCAAACAACAATAACAACATAGAGAAAAATAAAAACAAGGCAAATAGAAAACAAAACTTAAGCCAAGAAATTACCGCCAATGAGTAATGAGAGTTTATGCTCTTTCTCAACAAATACAAGTCTATCCATGTGTATGTGTGATTTTTGTGACTGTGTTGTTAATTGATTGCCAAAAGGTGTAAATCTTTATTGTACATATTTAATGGTATTTTTTGGAACAGCCACCACAGTGGTTGTATTAGGTGAGCAATTCATAAATAAATATGTAAATATTTAAAATACAAAATGGATATATATATTTATATATATACATATATATATCATTTAAAAGTAATTAGCGTCATGCTCTAGAAATTGGGTTAAATGTGAAAATTATTATTGTGTCTGGATAGTGTGAAATTTTGAATAGCTAATAACTAGTGATTTGGCGTGTCAAGAATGTGCTACACACACTGCGGAAAAATATGGAAATAAAATCAAATTATTTTAAATTAATAATTAGTAAAATATATAAAAACATAATTAAAACAAACAAAATTAACACATTAGATAAAAATAAATCAAAAACTATGGGATTTAACTAATGAAGAATAATTTAAATATAAATGTTTATATTAAAAAAATATCTACAATTAAACATAGTCATCAAACAAATTATGGAACAAAAAAGATTGAGCAGCTAGTTTCATTTAATCGTTTAAAAACTACTCAAAATAAACTACTTGAAATATTGAAACGAGAAAACGAATAAACGTTTAAAATATTAACATACTGAACGAGAAAAGATTGGATTACACGACAAACAGTCAGATTTGAATAATATGTAATTAAAGTGATTTACTCCAATTCGTGATTTGTTCAGATTATTTTGTATTAAATATTCAAGAAATTTGTAGTTACAATTGAAGATTCAAATTTGACAACAAAGTAATTTAAATTTGAGCTAATTTCTCACCTCTCTAAATGCTTTAAAATATGATTTAACCACTTTTCTTAACTCCAAATGGAACATCTTATTTTGAAAGGTGTTTTTTCCATAATAGTTCTAACATTTTCTAAAAGCCTTTCACTGCTTACCATCAATGAAAAATTAACAACAAACATTTTATCAGCTCGATTATATGCCTATTGCTACCCACTATCCTCTGCGCTGTTGGCTGACAAGTTAATGGTCTGTCGCAGAGTTGACACCAACGCACATTTCAGCAGTGCTAACAAAGCATCTTCGATTCTTGGCAACACTCTCCATTCGAACTCGAATTGTATTGGATTTTTTTTTGTTATTTTCATTTTTGACAACAAAGACATGGAGTAGATAGCTGAAAATTTCACTTACAAAAGGCGGGCGCAACATTTTCTTATTGTATTCCTCATTTTCTGGGTCAAAAGCAAAGCAACAATGCCCATCCTCGGCATTGCCAAGCCCTGAGCCAGAAGACCCAGCCCCAGACCCAGCTGCAGTTCCACTGCCAGTGCCAGGCCCAGCCCCTTGTCTATTTGTCTCTAAGTTGCTGCATTTGATTGTAAATGGCAACGTAGTTGCCCAAAAAGGGATTTCCCTTTTAAACTCAACACACACTCACACTCAGCTCAATCAAAGTGAAAAAAAAACTTTCGTTTCGTCTGGTAAGGTAAACAGAACTTGTGGTTACAAAGTGTCAGTCAGCTCCAGCTCCAGCTCTAGAACTCAACAACAATAAGCACTCGCAACGCATACATAAATTAAAGTTGGGCCGGGTCTGCTCAATGAACTACAGCCACAGACATTAACGCTTTGCTGTCTCACTTCAAAAGGCAACCAACAACGGTTCTTTCCGTTTCTTTCATTTTATGTGCTACCGACGAAGAAGCCTCCTCACTGCAGACCATCAAACGATGAAGCATATGTCACTGGCTGCATTTCGATTTCGATTTCCTGTCACTTTGCCAGAACTTTACACATTCTCACCCCTACCAGTACACCTACCAAACCTTTTGTGTTACTACATGCAGCGCATGATTAATAAAGAGCCAGAAATCTGTGTTTCCCACTCTGGCCGCTTCGTTGATTAGTAATCACGTCAATATTTCAATAAACAAATAAAAATAATAATAATACAAAAAAAAAAAAACAAATCATTGGCGCAGACAACCTCATCAACGTCACAACAACAACAATAACATTTTTCCCCTCAGTGTCATTCTATGGTTTTGCATTTTAATTGCTTTTGATTTGCTGCCCCCGCCATTTATGCATTGGAATGGGAATTGGGTGCGTTCCGACTGCTAAATTTAACTTTTGAACACAACAGAAAAATACTACGTTACATTCTGTACTACTATGCATATAGATCAAAGATAGACATATATGGCTCATCGCCATATCTATTTACATACCAGATGGATGGGTAAACACACACACAAACACGATTCTCGGATTTAAATTTATGACACGGCCCGAGCAAAGGCCCAAAGTGATTTTATGTCACCATGAAAAGCTTTTGACAGCTGGATTATTTTTAAGTTACCGTATTGATGTGACTTGTTGATATATATTTCTGGGTTCAGCTGGGCTTATAATACGGAAACAGTTTAATTATTATGAACAGAAATATCTTGAGTATTATTTAATCTTATCATAAACTTATATTGCGGTATTTTTAAGAAAAAGTGAATATCGGACTCTATAAAAGTTCAAAATAGGTACAAACTGTTTTCGGAATGATGATCACAAACCCAATAGAATATATTTCCCAAATTCATAATAAATACTGATATTATAGTGTTCCCTTAAAGACAAACGTTCTATGTTTAACAAAAGCTGAAAACAAAATTTAATCCAAATAAATTCATCATCTACTATTTATTGTAACTGACAGTAAGTTTGGATTTTAGTGCAATAACCTTCTTTATACACAATGCCCATAGACAAACTTGTGGTTGCACCCCAAAGCCCAAAACGGAACCCAAACAATATCAACGCCTTTCTCACACCAAAAGTCAACTTGACAAATGAAAGCAAAAACCAACTGTCCACTGATATAAAAACCAAAAGCGTGCAAAAAAATAGGCGAGAAAAACATGCTAGCATGGGCAGCGCGTTAATTTTTCATGGTGGACAAGAGAAAAACCATATTATTTCATTATTTACATCATGGAGACTAAACAAACGAGCGGCGAGCAGCGAGCAGCGTGAGACAAGTGGCAAGTGGCAAGTGGCGAGCTGCGTTGTCCGTTTGGCCGGCACGTCATTAGTCACACCAAGGGGTAGATATGAAAGACCAGAGCAAGAACCACAACATCAGCAGATCTGCGTGCAAAAGCGGATAAAAAGTAATCAAACGCTCTAAGAACGACATAATAAGGCAACTGAGCGCAGGACTATCTGAAGCTACAAAAGATGAAGCTGATGCTGAGGCTGCTGCTGCTACTAAGGCTGAAGGCACAGCCAAAGCCAAAAACGAAGACGAAGTTGAAGGTGTTCGCAGCTGCTTGACAAAACGGAAATGAAATTAAATAAAAGGAGAAAAAGCGTAAAGGAGTTTCAGTTCCAAGAGTATGGCATACTACTCGTATTATATTGCATTATATAAATGCCCTAGCCGTCAAGTGCTGCGTTGGCGTTGAGGCGGCAACAGCGAGAATTCTTAGTATACTCATAAGCAGCTTGCCGTTAAGACGGGGCCCACAATTTTTAAGCCGCAGCTTAAAGTGGTGACAACAACAAGAACTACCATGGCTCTAGCTGCGAGTTGAGTTGCATTTTGTAAAACTCTTTAGTGTGATTAATGTGCTCAGACACAAACACACACACACACACATACCCGCACACACTCGCACACACACACACACACACACACACACACACATACTGCACACACAAACGTCAAAAACAAACTATGCAAACACATGTGTGTTTGCTTCCTTTTATGAGCTGCGGCTGCCTCTGACCTGCGACCGGGACGTGCTCCTTACACTTTTCCTTTTCTTTTTCTCTTTTTTTGGGTTTGCTTTGCGCGTCGGTGTGTTGCTTTTGTTAGCAAAACAAAAGCCACCCACATACAATATCCACACCCTTGTACACCTATGCACAGTTCTGTTTGCTTGCACACACTCACACACAAACACACACACACATATATATTCTGCGACGTAATCCTTTTGAATGCTGCTTTTATCGCGCTCACTTCTAGTTATACACTTTCCGAGGTTGTAATACTTGTTCATTAAGAACAAAATTCACATGCTGGAACTGAGTTAATATTGTCTATTATGCAATTTGAAATAAGGGTCTTATCTGACATAAACACTGTTGTACTAAAACATACTGATAGTTAAGATAGGAGAATTGACGATCATCCTGTTGCTTTAGTTTTGTTTTCATAAAACACTAGTTTAGATATAGGTATCCATTGTTTGTTTGTTTGTTTTCACAATATTTTTTATTCTATCTTATGTTTATTTTTAAAGCTATCGATGATATTTCTGTCATATGTACAGAAAGGTATACATACGCTTAACAATTTTAGGAACTCATATTATATATGGTTTTAGAGGAAAAATGCATTTGCCAATTAAAATATACAGACTCCGTTCTATTTTATTTTCAATTTTAAATTAACTTCTACAGTATTTTCCAGCATCTAGTAATATATAAATATATGATATCATCAGCAAGTGTATTTAAACGGCGATGCATCATATCACACTTTTCCTTCTTCGGCTTGTTGTTGCTCTCCGCTTCGTTTCTTGTTGCTGCGTTCTTGTACATGTTGTTGTTGTTGCTGTGTATCTCATTATGCGTCAGGCTTCTTCTGGCAGTCGGTTGTTACTGCTGGTGTTGCTGTCTGCGTCTTGGATTACATATTTCATATTTCAGAGTCACAACCGCACTCAGGAAGGGCGACGTTGTCACTTTTCCTGTGGTGCAGTACCACACTTATTGGAACTTGGCTGCTTCGTTTGCTCGAGTGTTTTGCCTGGGGCTTTTGTTTTGCCCCTAGGGCAGGAAACAGATACAGCAATAGCAGCAGGCTCAAGTGGTAGGATTCATCATTGGCCAACGTCATCGTCATGGGCAACAAACCTTGTGGCAGTTGCCTGCGAAGGATTTCGTGATTATCGCAAGTTGGGTATTCTGTTTTTTTCTTCTGCATGCTTGCTTATTAAAAACAACAACAAATAAGTTTAAAAAAAATATGAAAAAAAAACTTTTTATGTGGGGCTTCTTTGAGACTGCAACGTGTCAGCCACAAGTTAAATGAGTTTCTCCTTTTTTGTTTATGCTGCTTCACAGGAAGTTGTTAAGTGTTGCCCTGGTTGCAGTAGCAGCAGCAACATCAGCTGTCTGAGCGCCTTTGCCTATGCCTGTGCCACTTATTTACTTGCCACAGCCCGTTCGGCTTATGGGCGCCACTAAATTAATTAAGCCATTCTCAATGAAATCAAGTAAGATGCGAGGCGCAACCGAAACTGTGTCATGCCATGCTTTATAAAAAAAAGAGGAGAAGAAATTAAAAGGCTAACAAAGAAAACAGGCGACTTTAACTCGAGACACGTACGCGCCAGGAAGCCGCATCCCAATGCCGGTTAGTCAGTTGGACAATCCTCCAGACTGTGGCATCAATTTTTGTCCAGTAGCCGAGAAAATGTCACGTTTCGCCACATAAGTTACAAACCGTGAGAATTGCTGCTAGTTTTCCTCGCCGAATAGGAGGAAAAGGTACTTTCCATGGTGAAAATTAATTGCTGGCCGTGTTATCGTCGTCTAAGACACAGTCTGGCAAATTAATTGGAAAGCACTACAAAATACAACAAAAAGTGACAAACAAAAACAATAGCTGTAGAAATTGAGCTGTGTTTTTATTAGAAACTAATTACAATGGCTTTTTCAAAACTGCCAACACATTAAGACTTCAAATAATTCTTAGTTAATGTACAGCACGAAATGTTTTATAACTTATCTGACTGCACTTGTTTTCGCCATGACATTTGTTTTTCTTGTTTGTTTGGCCGCCAATGAAATAATTTTGTTGAACGCATTTTATGTCAGTCTCATAAACTGTTTATGAGCAGCTTTTGCAGTTCCACTTTACAAATGTATCGCTTGCAAAGTGGTGCTGACATAACATGTACCTTTTAATTACAAACTAATTGAGTAAGTCGGTTCCATCCACAGAAATACTGGCTCGACTGAGGTACACTCTCACACACACAAGTGGACGCGCACAGCTGTTGGTCAGATCAATGCAAGGTTTCAGCCTCTGCATCTCCTCTTGTCTTCTCTTGTAATCAGCCACATTTATGTGGGCCCATAAATATGCAAATATCCTTTAAGTACTTTTAATGTCTGGCCATTTGTTGGGGTCTGGCTTACAGCCAATGACTAGGTCCACTACTCCTACTCCTGCTGTTGCATCTGCTGTTGCTGCTGCAGTTGCTCCTCCAGCATATTTTACTTCTTCGTTTTATGCCTAATGGTCTTAATGGCATGTTTGGCATTGTCGCCATCATCTTGGCTATTTACATGCATCTTGTTGCTGCCTTTTTCGTTTTGTGCACTTTGCCATTTCTTTTCAACTTTATGCAGCTCATAAATAACACCCATAGACATATAGCTGTATGCGAGTATGCGTCTTGGGTTGTGAGAGAAGTTGTGCCTTGCATACAAATACAAATGAATTTTATTACCAGGCGAGAGCTGCTCTTGGCCTAGGCCTATTCCCAAGGAAATTTCTTGAGAAAAATATAAATATTATTCAATAGAACTTTAGTCAAATTATAAAATTAAAGCTACATATTGAAAGAATTAAAAACAAAAATTATAATTTATGTATATTTATTTATTTTTTAAGTATAAAATAGTAGTGTTAAGTAGCCCTCGCATAGTGAAGTGCTATCCGCAAGAATGAAGGCTTCGCTTGATTGGGGCTATGAATAACTCGGTATTCGTAAGAGTCGTAAAAAATACCCTTTGACTAATTTTGCGCTACATTCTTGCAGGACACAGGACGAACTGAGCTGAACTGAGCTGCACACAAGAGGCACAACAACAATAAGAACAAAAACAAAAACAATTCGCACACTGTGGCCAGCGGGAGACGAGCAGCAGTATCCGAATGCAGTATCTCAACTACGCACTGCAGACATCCACGCGACTGCTGACCAGCCAGAGCCACAGTCAGAGTCAGAATCAGAGCCAGAGCCAGAGTAGCCAGCACCAAGCAGCAGCTACATTGGCAGCCACGCCCTTTGAGGAGCAAATTGCGCACGCCTGCTGCAGTCGAGGTGCCCAATTGCTGCGACTGCGCCAACAGGAGCTGGCCAAGCGACGTGCTCTCGAGCTTGAGGATCAGCTGAACGCCAACGTTGGCAGCGCTGATAGCGACGCGTGCAGCGAGGAGCTTGCGGAAGGCGCTGTGGGTGGGCAGCAGGAGCAGCGGGAGCAGGAAGAGTACTCCAGCCAGTCGGCGCCGCATCCAGTCCAATGAAATTTACTCTCATTTAATGTGCAACTGGCGCGCAGCAAGCTGCTATCGTTTTTCAATCGCGACATGGCCGCCACCGATGGCCAAATCATATTGGCCGCCTCCCGTTTTGGGGATGCGACGCCCGTTTATTTGCGCGACTTCTCCAAGCAGCCGCTGCCGGCGGTGGCCAAAATCCTTAAAGGACAACATCAGGCACTGGGCGTGCCCACACTCTCAGCACCCTCGTTGCAGAGCACGGCGCTATTTCTGAGCGCTGGCAAAAAGTATCAGATACTGGCTCAGCCCATCAAGATCAAAGAGGGACGCAAGCCCACAAATGTGGGCGCCAAGGTGCTCATACCGGAGACCTACGGCGGCTACTTTGAGCTGCTCAGCGAAGATGGACGCTCCACGCGCTGCATTGACTCTGTCTTGGAATTGTCGAGACGACGCAATTGTCGCGTCCTTGTGCGCGAAACGTTTCGCTGCCAGCAGCTTAATCGCACCATTCATGCCGGCGAACTGTTGACTACGATGAACGATAATGGCAAGTACCTACAGTGCCGCAACATCAAGGACGAGATCATCAATCTGCCACTCGATACCAAAGCCAAATTCTCTCCGATTGCGCGAGAGGACAGCATCAGCGGAGTGCACACCGTCAAGAATCTGCTGCTGAAGCGAATGCCCGTCATTGTGAGGTGAGTTCCAGTAAATACTATTTTATTTATTTAATCGACTTCAGGTGCACAAACTTATAGAGTGCAGTTAAGAGTAAGAAGTAGTAATAAGTAGAAACATCAATGAAACGCTTTCGTATATTTTTTCTCAGACTCGTCCATGGCAGCGCGCCAAAGGGTTTGAAGCAACCATTTGTGCCGGAGTTGCGTCTGTTGGGCTGCGTGGAGATCGATCGGATGTTTGCGCTGCCGCTGCAGAAGGACACGGATCTTGTGCCTGTGCCGTTGAATGCGAAGATCAAGCTGCAGCGTGCCAAGAATATGGAGCAGCTTGAGCATTTCATTGAGTACACACGCTTCCTGGACAAGGCGCAGCGATTGCTGGCGGATGCACGCGATCGCCTGCAGATCGTTGATCTCAAGCTAAGCGAGAAGGAGAAGAAGGACTCGAAGTTCAGCAGTCGCAATAAGCTACCCGTTGTCATGCTACCCTCCGCCGCTGGCGTTGCGAGCGGACTAGCCGAGAGCGGTTATGTGCTGCGCAAGAGCGCCAGCTGCGATTCTTGGTCCAAGCAGCAGCAGCAGGCGCTCAATAGCACCGAAATCGCAGAGGAATATAACGAGATCGATCACATCTACGATTATGTGCGCGGATTGACGCCGCTCTCCAAGGGATTGGCCCGGTTCGAGCCCATCTGTGAGTCACCCACGCTCAAATCGCATCACACGGACAGCAGTGGCAATGGCAACTATTGCAGCCTCATACGCGCACCTGCAGCAGCAGCGCCACAACAGCAACAACATCAGCCCAGCAGCACCAACAACAACAACAACAATAACTATAGCAGCCTGGAGTCGAATAAGCACAGCAGCAGCAATGGTGGCCATCATCATCTATATCAGCAGCAGCAACCGCAGCAGCAGCAGTCGCATCATCATCACAATCACCCTTCGGCGCTGCTGGTAAACCACTATCATCACAGCCATATACAGGAAGACATTAAGCCGGTGCCACCTCCCATTGAGACAATACCGGGCAAGAAGCCGGCTGAGAAGCGACAGCGGCCCACATTACCAAAGCTTTACATCAAGAATGCGAATGCACATAGCGCCGGCAGCAGCAGCAATGGCAACTCCACTGGCGGCACCAGTCACAGTCACAGCCATAGTCACAGTCACAGTCACAGCCATTCACAGCAGCAACAGCAGCAGCAACAGTTGCCGCTAACTCCCGGTAGCAGCAATAACAATAACAACAACATAAGCAGCAATACGGCAGCAATTGTCGCCAGCGCCGCTACAGCAGCAGCTGCCTCTGTTCACCACTCCCACGTCCACACACACCACGCACACGCACACGGAAATGCACATGCACACACACACCAACACCATGGCAAGGTGCTGACGCCGAACAATCATTTGCCTGTGAAGGAATCACTGGAGCCGCAGTCGCCGCTGTTTCATATCAGGTAAATGACAAGGAGTGGTAGGGAAACGTTAAATGTTCTATATGTAGAAGACTTTGCATGTGATACATATCATAATTCATTTCAATTAAACTTAACATTAAATTTTTAAGCTTGTCTGAAGTGAAGTTTTATACAACGACTAGAGTATAATCGGTATAATTATATTAATATCTAGACAATTATAATTATTGAGCGACAGTTGTAATTAACAAGTGCTTTAATTACTTGACCTAACTCAATCACTGCCTATGATCACAGATACAAGAGTCTCAGCAGCCTGCAGCTGACGCCGGACAGCAATACAGCGGCAATGACGCCACCGACGATCTCAGCCCAAAGCAAGGCAGCGACAACAGCTGCATCTGCATCCGTTGGCTCTCAGACGCCGCCCGATGTGCTGCAGAAGTGCAGCAGCAGCATACTGAATTCGCACGGATATCTGGCGCATAGTCAGAGTCACAGTCACAGCCGCAGCTCGAGCAGCAACAATCATCATAATCCGCGAGAGGGCACGCTGGACTCGTCGCGCAGCGGGGGACGTACTTCAGGCGATTCGCAGAAGCTGCCGGAGAAGAAGACGCGACGCCTGTCGCGGCCGCGCAGCCTCTCGAATCTGGTGTGGGATCTGCGGCCATCAAAGGAGAAGTCGAAGAAGAAGCTCTATATACACCACTTTGATCAGCGTCAGCAGGCGACGCTCTATCTATAGGATGTACCTAGGAGCTAGGAGTGGAGTGAAGTTTAGATTCGTTGCCAAATCGTTTCGCTGCCATCAACGACAAAACCCCACAGACAACAACAACAACAACAACTATAACAACAAGAACGACAACAACGACACCAACAACAAGAACAAGCAACACCAATATTTAGCACTGTGTGTGTTCCTGCAGGTGAGCAGAAGATGGTCTTAAGGGGGCGAGTGATGGAGTGGGGGCGTGGCAATGCAAATCGTGCTGCCTTGTGATTGTTTTGCTTATTAAATTCGTGCAGCTAACTAAACTAACTAATTTCCTCTATCCATCTCTCTTTCTGTCTTTCCCTCTCCCTCATTCTCACTCTCTTTTCTCTTCCAGCTTTCACCATTACAGCTTGCAGCAGCAATTTTAATTAACATTGAATTGTGCCTTCCCCTGCGCCCAGAACTATGCTTTAAAATTCCAATGAAATATTTTCAAGAATATTTTGCCTGGATGGACGAATGAGAATGAAAAAAGGAGAGAAATATAGAAAGAAAAGCAGAAGAACCAACCAAAACCAATCACATGAAGCGCTGACTACACACACACACACACACACACACACACTCATACACACAGACACACACTAAAAAACACAAACAACATACACACACACATCAAGTCTATAAAATTGTGATTTTAATTTTATGTTTAATTTAATGTTATGCGACACATTTAGTTCATATTTAAAAAATTAGACGATGAAGCAAGGAAAAAATTAAACGGAAAACAACAAAAACCATACACACAATTAAAAGCCATTTTTCATTTTGCTGTCGCTTCAGCTTGAGTCACATTTAAAATTAAATAACGGCAAAATTAACAAAAGATAATTATAATTACAAAAGCATAAAGCTGCAAACGGCGATCGACGGCTAATCAAGCCACCGAAGAGGAAGTAGAAGAAAAGAGCCCGCAGCAATATAAAAATACACATATAAACATAAATATATATACATATACATATATATATATATATATATATATATATGCATATTAGTATTTATATATACATATGTTATAGATAAGCAATATTACAAATATCGAACATTATTTACCTAGAAAAAGTTATGCAATGCAACAGTTGCAACAACAACAATACACAAGCAAATAACAGCTACAACTATACTATGCATATTTAATGTTGTACCAATATAGTTGAAATGAATTTATTAATTTCTCCTCATAATTTAAATGTTGTTCGTTTGTTGTCAACTGTATTCGTAGCTGTATTTGTAATTGTTTATAATTATGCAATTTAATTACAACTAAAATTAACTATTCTCTTTTTAGTCTTTAGCCGCACAGAGCTAAGCAACGCGAAAGATGGAGAGCGAGAGGGAACGTACAGAGTCTTCCTCTCCCTCTCTCTCTCTCTCACTCTCGCTCTGGCTCTCGCAATGCATTGTCTTAGTCGTTTAGTGTGTACATTTTAGTTATTACAATTATATCGCTTATATGGCATACGAGCATATTCGAGTATATTATACTATAACTACATTCTATTTGTGTCTAATAAATGTCTCAGAAATATATAAACTGTATATGCAAAAACAAAAGTTGATTTCATTTCGCATGGGATTTTTAAACGTGGGCGTTTAAATCAAACCAAAGCAATTCAAATTAATACTGCTTTAGAAATTGAATCAGTATATATTGGGATATACACATATGCGTCATCAACTACACCTGCAACTGATATAGGGAGACAAACAACAACACAAGTGCTTAACGAAATGTTGATCGAGCTATAAATAAGAACAGCTAGTGGAAATTGCGCAGGAATATCTCCATTTATGTGAGTGGCAAAGTGTTCAAAGGTTGTGTTGAAAGCATTCGGCTACAATACTGATATATTAGAGTGAATCCAAAATGGAAAGACGGGAATTACTTTATCTGTTAATTAAAGTTTAATTAATTTCTATTATAGAAAATTAAATTAGTTACTGAATTTTTCAATTATTTAAATTTCTAAAAGATATGAGCCTAGCATCTGAACCATAAGGTATAGAAAAAAAGGTGTGTCATTAATAATTATATACATTTTCGGCATAATCGGGTAGTAAAATGAAAATTGCTCAAGGCTTTGTAAAGTTAAAGTTTCAACTGTTGCCAATTGTATGATTGTGTGTCACAAATTTGATTAATACTAGAGAGTTTATATGATAAATACTAATAGCAGCAATAAATATAATTTAAAATATGTTCAATTTTCTTTTAGCATTCCTGTATGGCCCCTAATCGATAAACATTAATCGACAACAGCAAAAGCGACAATAACAACAGCAATTCAGTGAAACACTTGAAGCACAGAAACACTAAACATGCTTTTTCCAAATTGGGAGCTGCATCAGGTGAAAACTGCGCTATAGCTGTCGTTTTATTAATTTTTTTAAACGCACCAGGCTTCGAATTGTAATAGAGCAACACTTAATAATTTATGGACACATGCCAAACGCTTCCTGCCAAGTTTAGGATAGAGAGACAATGGGACAGAAACACCTGCCAAAGCGCCGACACCTGGCTAAAACACGAACTCAATTGCGCCCATTTATGCAAAGAATTAAGTCCCCAATTGCGTTACTGTTGCCTAAACCGAATGCGGAACAGACTTGTGAGAGGAAAATACACAATTCATATACATACATACAGGTTGATAGATAGAGGAGGCTCAATTGCGTTAATGTTCGTAATTAGTTGGTAATATCGAAAGATTTAATTTGCGAGCCGGTCCCAAAACGGTACGAGCCGATCAAGTTTTTTGCCTAAGTCTTTTGTATTATGGCTTATGGATGCTATGCAAATAGATTGGCCATAGCTGGAGCTGAAGCTGAAGCTGAAGCTGAAGCTGCCGGCAACGAATTGAATAACATGAATAATGTGCTTACATTGCGATATCATCACGTTTATGACGCTGGCACAATTAATCAGCCAACATGCAAGCGCTAAAAGGCAGACTCCAACTTACCGAGAGCAGCAAGCGGAAGACAGGTGGTTAGACGGACAGACGCAAGGAGGAAAGAATTACACAGCTGGCATGGGATTAGGTCTTAAGAACCATAAACATTTCCCTGCTCATCAAATGTGCAATTTATAACATTTTCCTATGCGGCAGCCGCGGAACTAAAGCCAAACTCCAGACGCCTACGCCAACAAAAAATATAAAAAAAAAACAGCTAATTCGGCACGACGAAGATAAAATACTCTTACAGACAGAGGACCAACGGTTCACATTTTAATCTACCAATAAAGTAAAGCTAATTATCACTTTGTTTTATTATTACTCAATCTAACGAGGATGCTTTGAATTCCAATGGATTTTGGTTAACACATCGAAAGCATTTAAAACAAAATTCAATTCAGTCAACATTTTCAGAAAATTAAAAAACCGACTTGGAGAACTTTGGACGGTGGATTATTAAAAAGAAGGTGCTTTCAAGGTAGGAAATACACAATTTCAGCTGTGACAAATAAAATTCTCCTCTCTTCCAAAACCAGAGAGTCATTCATACAGGAACAGAGAAGACCCCCAAGGATATATAAAAAATCGCAGGCACTACGAGTCAGTCTTAGCCTCTGCCACAGTCCCTGTTGCAGTCTCCTGTCTTTCAATAGTCTTGCCTGTTTACCTGCATGTTGCTTCGCCATTTGCTACAGTTATGGCACATAGGAAGATAGTGAACTGGCTGGAACAGCTGCATCCGTCCGCTTAGCTCTCAGCTAAGCTCAGCTCTGGTCCCAGCTCTTGGCTCATGTCCCAGCGATTTGTATCGCCGTCTGTTTAAGCTGTGTAAATCGCCCTAAACTACGCATCAGTTTCGGTTTCAATCTTGAACTTGCTGGCGATTCTTCCCTCGCAGTTTTCCCCCTCTCTACGCTTACCCATGCATTGCTCAATATGTTTATTTGAGGAAGTGGTTTCGTTTAGCGTGCCTGCAACTTTATCGCGATATACGCGATATGCAATGTAGCGGTAACAAATTGGCCTGCCAGCCTGCTTTCCCACCTTCCATACCGACCGGGCTTGGCCAGAAATCCTGGCCCAATTCTAAGCCGCTTCCGCGTCACTTGCACACAATTAAAAGTGCGCACAGTTCAATTACCCGGATAGAGGGAAAGAGAGAGAGGAGAGGAGGGAGAGAGCAAAGCTGTGAGTAAGTACAGACCACTTTCTTACCCTATTGAACATTACTAGGGTCTGGATTCAGTGATGCAATTACGCGGATCGTCGACTTCTGCTTGCTGATGTTTATTTTGTTGTTGTTGCTGTTGTTCTCTTGCCAATTGCACAACTGTTGCGAGTTGCAACTGCCTCGATAATCATTCAAATTTACAAAGAAAACAATCAAAAAGAAATTCCTAGAACACAAATCGACGAAACTCATTTCATTTGAATTAAAGCTGCACGCCGACTGCAAGCAGAGAAAACTCCACACTGACAGCAGCGAGAAATGCAGAGCGAAGTTTTCAATACTCTATGCAAGACATTCAGATAACTTGTGGTTGTCATTAGCTATTGATTTCAATGGGATGTAACATGCTGCATGGGAATCCCACCAAATCCGATGCCAGCTCATCACATGGTAGAGCGTCCAGGTAGTGGCGGGTGCGGCGCGGCGTTGCAAGAAAATCGCAAAGAAAACAAATTTAAATAAGACAAACGTCAACCAATTACCGTCAATCGCATTTTCCGCAAACGTCGAGCGGCGACGTTGTTGCCAACCTTTCTGCAAACTTACTACTACGCTGCAAAACTTCCAACTGCAATGAAGATGCCTTGCCAAAGCGGGGTGGGGAAATGATGTGCGGATGTGCCGGGGTTAAGGTGGTGGGGTGGGCGACTGGTCGCGCATGTGCAGTTACGAGTGCAACAACAGCGACTGCGTCACACGGCACGCGGAGAGGTCAAAAAACTGTTGGCGGCATTTAAATAAGTTGGAGGAGCTGCAACTGCAAGCTGGAGTTGGAATTGAAGTTGCAGCAGAAATCAAATCAAATCCAAATCAAACAAAACAAACTGCTTGCAAAAGAGACACCGAGGAGCAGACGAGTAGCAGCAACTACAACAACAACAACAACACAGCGACAAGGCATCGAACAAATTTCCATGCTGCTGTGAAATTCCACGTTGCAGATCCGACGAAGTTATTTCTATCATGTTGTTGTTGCTTTTTGTTACCAAGGCTGGTTCTAAGGCCTGCTTTTTTGGCTCTGAGTGCAATTATCCGTCGTGTATTTGCTTTGGCTTTGACTTTGGCATTCTGCCATCGATGTATATGTCGAATGTGAATGTGGTCTTATGTGTGTGTGTGTGTGTTTGAGCCCAAACCTTTCTTCCACTTCCACTTAAATTGCCCATGACGAGCTGTGCGCACTGACAGCTGTGGCAACAGTTGAGCAACTGTCTAGCTGACAGTGTGCCCAAGTCTATATACAGATTCAGTGCAGTCTACTGCCGCAGCCACAGCCGCAGTAGTGTATCCATCATCAGCATGCGATTCTCATGCGAAAAGGTCAGCAGCAGCAATAACAACAACAGCAGCACAGCAAGTTGGAGCTTAGAATTTCAATCATTGACTTTGGCCAAAGTG